TCCAAGGTATTTAGTAAGAGGCATGGTGTTTGCGATTTTTTTTTTTTTTTTTTTTTTTTTTTTTTTTTTTCTCCTTTTGCCTTAATTGTTTGGAAAATTTAAGAAAATAAGATTGCTTATTTCTATATTGTCACCAGTGCAGTACAGCGGTGATTAGGGACATTTTTTTTTTTTTTTTAAATGAAGAACCCCCCCCCCAAAATAAAGTATGTGTACATACAATTATAATTTTTTTATGGTGTTCAACACACTGTGACCAGTGCAATATAATGTGTTACCTTTAGTAACATTGTACTATTCTGGGGAAGTGATCAGGACTTATTTATTTTTTACACATGATTGCTTACAGTAGTGGATATTACTGGATGAAATTGATTCATTCAGTGTGTTTCTGTTGGCATTAGCTGTGATTTGCAATAGCTAATCACATGGTACAGATGGGCTATGATTGGTCCTGTCTGTACCATACGATCACTGTGACCAGTCAATGGCTAGCAATACAATTGTACTCAAAGAATGATATGAATTGAAGCCATTCACTGTTTACAATATTCAGGGGATCTCCTGTGATTGGTCACTGCGATTTTACATGGCAATGGCAGTGGGCCGGCACACCTATCTGCTATAGGCTCGGCAGGAAGTGGTTATAATTTATCTTCCTCTGTGATCCCCTGCCAGTGCTCCTGACCCTTTCCTGCCTCATGAGTGCCACCATAGCAAGCTGCTTGTTATGGGGGCAGTCATGCTGGCTCGCTCCTGAGCCGTGTTCTGTGTCCATTGACACAGTGTGGCTCTGCTTGGCCTGTGATTGACAACAGCAGAAGCCAATAGCTCCAGCAATTGCCTCTCAGTCTAATGAGGAGAGAGGGTGAAGAGAGATGCTGCTCTGCCCTTAGCACCACTTTAAGATTTTACTTGTTTAGCCCCATAAGATGAATGTAAGAAATCGCTCTATTCCCCCATCCATTGCTAAACCGCGTGGATGGATGAATCTGCAGTGCCATCTATTGTATTCTGACAGCCAGTACCTGCGGCTGTCAGAATACCCCAAGTCTGTATCTGAATGCAGATGCTGTACAGCCAAGAACTTTTTCACTTGGCTCTGTCAATAAAAATATTGAAATATTGTCTGTTAGTCCAGGTGTATAAAACACACTGCTGATGGATTCATAATAGTAAAAGATCCCTCAGTCTACCCCCCAGTACCTTTTTTATAGCCATAAAACAGCCGCTGATGGGCACCGCAGGCTGTGCTGGTTCCAGAGCGACTCCTGCTGCCAGAGGCTAGAACTGTCACCCACAAATCTGTCTCCTGATGAATGGCATTGTTGGATGGGGGAGGATGCTTGCAATCCAAGGGACAGGTTTGAATGGTTTAAGCACTATATGCACTTTGTCCCTTGGGGGAATAGATACAATTTTGTTTGTAAAAATATATAGTGAGGCCGAAACTCCTCCCTAGCTGAGACATAGATTGCAATAAACACCTGATGGGGGATCCGAACTATTCCCTGCTGTGTGTAAATGAAAACTTAATTTTATTCTATAGTTTAATTATGGGCACCTTACCCTAGGTGAGGGATGTCAAACTCCATTTTCATCGCAGGCCGTGGCAGCATCATGGTTGCCCTCAAATGGCCGATTGTATCTGTAAGACTAGATGTCTAGATAACCCCCCCCCCCCCCCCATTACATCAGATGTCAAGAATCCTACACCCTCCATACCATTACCGTGCACCCACTTTGGGGGCAGAGCTGGAAGCAGAAAGTGCAGGATCTGGAGGAGGACCAGAGGAGGAGTGGTGTCAGTTGCCATAGTCTGCTGAATACTGAGATCGGGGAAAGCAGAGATGATGGGGTGTTGCAGCTGCACAGAGAGGTGCAGTTCTGTTGTCCTCTCTGCTGCCAATTGCTGAGACAAGGTGGGGGCAGAGACAAGGGGGTACCTGCAGGAGAGGTGCAAGGGCAACATGAAACTGCCTGGAGGGCTGGATTCGGCCCCATGGGCCTTGTGTTTGACACCTGTGCCCTAGGTTCACACCTGTGCTCTACACCTTACCTTTTTCCGCAGCATCTTTCAGAAATGCACTACAGTCCATTTAACATAATTTCCCATGGGACTGGTTCGCATCTCCGCGTCTTCACCCGGTGCATTTTTTGGAAAGTGTCAGATTTTTTTTTTTAAACGCAAAAAGTTGCTTTTTTGGTTCTATAAACTTTAATGGAAAGACTGCAGAAAAGCATGTAGTGCTTTTTTTTTTTTGCTGCGTTTTTGATGTGTTTTGCAATCTGCCTAGTAGCAAGAAGAAAATTGAAGAGCAGCAAAAAAACGCAAAATGCATTGCAGAAACTGATCAAGCACAAACTGCATAGGTGTGAACTTAGCCTGACAAAGAGGTACATGGCCATGGCTTGTGGCACCATGCATTGTTGCAATGCACTAGTGTGAACAGGCCAAAGCTTTTGTGTTTTTTAATTGGGGCAGCACAGTGGCTAAATGGTTAGCACTTCCACCTGGCAGCACTAAGGTCATTGGTTCAAATCCCAGCCACGGCACCTCCTGCTTGGAGTTTGCATGTTCTCCCTGTGCTTGTGTTGGTTTCCTCCGGGTGCTCCGGTTTCCTCCCACACTCAAGACCTACTGCTAGGTTAATTAGCTCCTGTCTACATTCATACATACTAGGGCCAATTTAAGCTAGAGACCTTAGATTGTACGCCCCTTGAGGGTTAGGGACTGATGTGTGTGTGTGTGTGTGTGTGTGTGTGTGTGTGTGTGTGTGTGTGTGTGTGTGTGTGAAGCACTGCGTAAATTTATGGCGCTATATAAGTACCTGAAATGCAATAAATAAATTTTGTGCTGCAGATCCATCCACACCCCCCGTGTTGTTGTGGTGGGTGTTTTTTTTTTTTTTTTTTTTGGGATTTAAAAATCACTTTTTGTTTTGTTTTCTGTTTTTTCTTTTGGCACCAACATTCTAATCTGCTCTGTAAAGTGATCTGACCCCAGGGAGTGAACAGCTGACTCTCCTCCGATCTCCACACCCATGCCAAATCTCATCCAGTCTTCTACCCACACCTGTAATTGGATAACGTGTGAATCCAAAACTCCACTTTTTACAAGTCGGTCTAAACATGCAAAGCCTGAGTCACTGTGAACCCGGATTTCTACCAGAAGGTTGTTGAGTCACCTTTTTGTGGTGTTCTCATAAGCTGGTATTTGGAAACGATCGTCCTATTACTACGTGCATCGAAAAAAAAAAAAAATCTGCTCACTCTGCAAACTTTTTATGAGAACTTTTTAGCTGAACTTTCCTCATCGAAACGCCTTTTTGTCTTTAAAATGATTCCATAAAATTTTTCCACCCAGAGTATGATGCCAAAAGCTACTAAAAACCCATCAATGTAATATCTATGGAAGTGCTATTGGAGATCTCTTTGAAAATGCTGGTTGCTTGGCTGTTCACGGTAACATAACTGACCATGGGACAAGTATGCAAGACCTGTAAAGTTAGGGTCATCTCCTTCTCATATATACGGTTTCTGGGTCAGTGATTCAATACATTGAAGCAAATGGATCACTATAAGCCAAGTAAATTCCATTTTTAAGTTGGCCACATTTGATTACAAATCCCTTTCCCAATCACATTTTTAGGCTTGCATTTTTTTCGCAGTGGGTCATGGGTTGGCATCAATGGCTGTGTGGGTTTTTGTTTTTTTGTTTTTTTTTATGGTGGGTTCTGGGTGTGTGGTTTTTTTGGTGTGTGTGTGTGTGTGTGTGTGTGTGTGTGTGTGTGTGTGTGTGTGTGTGTGTGTGTGTGTGTGTGTGTTTTTTGTTTTGTTTTGTTTTTCAGTTGAAAACCATAGATCCATTCAAGATTCAATGATGGGTGCATTTGACCTGCTTCAAGTGGTAGTTGCATTCCCATAGACTTGTATGCAAAACCCATGTAAATACCTGAAATAACTGAAAGGCAAACTAAAGCTCATCAACACAAGCCCAAATTGTCTTTGATTGTAGTTTATCCACTAGAGGGAGCACTCAGTTGCTCAGTGAAATTATAGGGTTAGTCATTTGTCAACCTGTCTAGATGTAAATAGTAGTAATGAAAAATAAAAATTTAAAAAGACATTAATAAAAAAAAAGTAATACAAAAATAAATTATTTAGTGTTTAATTTTTTAGTATTAAAATAAAATAGAATACAAAATAAAATTGAAAGGGCAAATATATCATCTCAAATGTATTTAGACCTCGCTGCACTGGGTGATGTGAATAGACATGAAAAGGCAACACTTTTTTTTTTTTTTATTGTTTTTACGATCATCCATTTAATATATAATTTAGGGTTGCACCGATACTGTTTTTTTTTTGTTTGTTTTGTGTTTTTTTTTTTTTTTTTTTTTTTTTTTTTTTTTTACATCATCGAGAGAGTACAAATACTTGTGTTCAAGTACTCACCAATACTGATTAGCAATACCTATTTGCAGTGTGATTTGAGCCCATACAAAATAAATGGGCTCAGATCGCACTGCAGGGAATCCCTTGATTTGAACAGGGATATGGCGTGATTCCTGTCCGAATCGCATGTGGTGCAATTTGCAGTGTGATTTTTGACCAATACAAAATGGCTCAAATCGCACCCACCCCCACAGGGAAACCGCATGTGACTTGAACAGGAAAGGTTTGCACAAGTACCTGTGCAATACTGGTATCGGTGCAAATATAAATAAATTAAATTTGAGATTATATATATATATATATATATATATATATATATATATATATATATATATATATTAAATCAATTTTTTTTTACTGTTTTCTGGATTGTCCACTAAATAATACATCAGTGGTTGGCGGCTGCTTCCTTTTAAACATTTACAAAGTTGGCTTTTAGCACTTAAACCAATTTCTCTGAATGTGCTCTGGTTAGATGATTAATTGCCATATATTAATGACTTTTTTTTTTTATGTATTTCCAGATCTACACATAACTCAGGATGAGCTGGAGCTTTCTAACCCGCCTTCTTGAAGAGATCAACAATCACTCTACCTTTGTGGGGAAGGTATGGCTTACAGTCCTGATCATTTTCCGGATTGTGCTGACTGCTGTGGGCGGCGAATCCATCTACTATGATGAACAGAGCAAGTTTGTGTGCAATACGCAGCAGCCCGGTTGTGAGAATGTGTGCTATGACGCATTTGCGCCCTTGTCACATGTTAGATTCTGGATCTTCCAAATCATCCTTATTACAACCCCCTCCATCATGTACATGGGCTTTGCCATGCACCGCATTGCTCGCCAGCCGGAGGAGTACAGGAGGCGAATGGAAAAATTGAAAAGCGTCAAGAAAAGGGCTCCAGTGGTTCATCGTGGTGCTAGGCGGGATTATGAAGAAGCGGAAGATGACAATGAAGAAGACCCAATGATCAGTGAAGAGTTGGTCCCAGACAAGGATGTCGAGGATAAGGACAAAAAGAAACATGACGGGCGAAGACGCATCAAGCAGGATGGGCTGATGAAGGTGTACGTGCTGCAGCTGCTCTTCCGCTCAGTTCTGGAAGTCGGGTTCCTCTTTGGACAATATACTTTGTATGGGTTTGAAGTCATCCCATCCTATATGTGTGCACGGAGCCCGTGTCCTCATACTGTGGACTGTTTTGTGTCTCGTCCCACTGAGAAGACCATCTTCCTCCTCATCATGTATGCCGTCAGTGCGCTGTGCCTTCTTCTCAACCTCTGTGAGCTCTTCCACTTGGGCGTTGGTGGCATACGTGATTCCCTGCGCAATAAAAGTCGAGATACAGAGGAGGTCCAGTATTGTAAAAAGACCCCCAGCGCCCCACCAAACTACCAGTCCGTACTGAAAAAAGGGAAGGTTCCCAATGGCAAGCTGTATCCAGAAAGTGGTGGGTCTGAAGCCTTTGAGTTGCCGGTAGCTCATTCAGGACTGCATGAGCTGGACCAACTGCGTCAGCATCTCAAGCTGGCCCAAGAACAACTGGACTTGGCCTTTCAGTTAAACAGTGTAGCAAATACCGCCCATCCGTCACGGAGTAGCAGTCCAGAAGCTAACAGCATAGCGGCAGAGCAGAACCGACTCAACTTCGCTCAGGAGAAGGGGGGAGGAGTCTGTGAAAAATCGGGTAAGGGCAAAAGAGGTTCGTTCTCAATGAAACCTAGTGATCCTGCCAGTAACACGCTTCCTGTCCTAGGGTGACAACACTCAAGATCAGAAAGGCAGGTTAGAGTGATAAAGCTACAATGTAAGACCTAAAGCTCACAGGAGATGGCTTGGCAAGCTGATCTTATTTTTAAGAGAGCACAGGAAGTTAAAAGGGCAGAGGAATTCTGGCAAAATCGGCAAAATATATATATATATTTTTTTTCCCCTTGCAGAAAAAGTAAGGGGGTAGGAAACTAATGCAGCCACAACATCTAAGGACAAGTAATGTAATTCATATTACACTTGTTGGGGTGTAGGTATGCTTTAGCCAGTTGCCGACCGATGGCTGCACTGCGGCCGGCCAGTTCTGGGAGGTCGTCATATGACGTCCTCCCAGAACGCACTCTCCTGCGCGCCTCCGGCGATCTCTGTGATCGTTTGTCCTACGAACACAGCTGATCACATCGTGGTAAAAGGCCAATCACAGCGGCCTTTTACCACGTGATCAGCCGTGTCCAATGACATGCTGATCACCGGGAAATGCAATTGCCGGTTCTCGGCTGCACTTTCCTCACGCTTTCGAGAACCAGCAGTTGTCAAAGCAGGGATCGGCACCAATCATCAGGGCACTGGTGATCAGTGCCCTGATGATCGGTGCCTACCTGTGCCACCTATCAGTGAAGCCTCATCAACGCACATCAGTGAAGGAGAAAAGTTACCTGTTTGCAAAATTTTTTTTTTTTTGTGCAAAAAGTAAAACACCCAGTGGCAAGTAAATACCTCCAAAAGAAAGCTATTTGTGAGGAAAAAAAGATAAAAATTTCATATGGGTATAATGTTGCATGACCATACAATTGTCATTCAAACAAACTAAAAAATCCCAGCGCCAATCAAAGAAAGTATACAATTATGCAGCTGTGCACCAGTGAAAACCACCAATAATGAATAACACAAAAAACAGCGCAAAAATTAAATAAATAAAAATAATCACAAATAAATGTCCGTGCAAATAAAATATAATATATATATATATATATATATATATATATATATATATATATATATATATATATATATATATATATATATATATTTCAAACATAAGTCCTTATTTTCCCAAAAGGATTTTCAAGACAATGTTCCAAAATGTGCTTCCACCTAATCACCACGTGAAAAATAATATTGACCGCATTCACCAGATGGAGGATTTTTTATTTTCATGTTTTGTTTATTTTTAGTATATATATATTTTTTTATATTTTTTTTATTTTTGGAAGTACATTTTTTGGAACACTGTCTTGAAAATCCTTTTGGAATTTTTGCACAGACCTTTATTTATTTGTGATTATTTTTATTTATTTAATTGTCATTCAAAGTGCGACAGTGCTGAAAATTGGCCTGGTAAAGAATGGGGTATAGGTGGTATGGGGTATAGGTAGGCAGGTGGTTAAGGCCCCATTCACGCTTGCAAATGGGGCCATTGGCGATTTACATATGGGAGACCCAGCAGGATTCTTGGCGAATGGCTACGGGAGGCAGCACCATTGAAAGCAAGTGGAGGCTGCTCCCGTAGGCAATTGCGACTGTTCGCATGTATTCACTCTAGGAGCGATTTTACTTTTGAATGATTGGCCCTAGTCACAGACAAGTCTGTCAAGGGCTGATTATTCTCCTTGCTAGGACTCCTGTAGGTGATTGCGAAGAGCCCTATTTGCATGTGTAAATGGGGTCTAACTGCTCACTGTCCATAGTATGTATAAACAAAACTGCTGGATTCAAGCAACATGGTGGCTAAGTGGTTAGTACTTCCACCTAGCAGCACTAGGGTCCTTGGTTCAAATCCCAATCACAGCACTACCTGCATGGAGTTTGCATGTTCTCTCTGTGCCTGAGTGTTTTTTCCTCCGGGTACTCTGGTTTCCTCCCCCGCGCTAAAGACATGCTGGTAGGTTAATTGGCTCCTGTGTAAATTGTCCCTAGTGTGTGTATGTATGTGAGTTAGGAGGGACCTTAGATTGCAAGCTCCTTGAGGGCAGGGACTAATGTGAATGTAAAATCTATATTCTATAGAGCTGACAATATACGTAGTGAGTGATGGAGATATAATTACCTGTATTAGGTGGTTAGAACAAGAGCAAAAACATGTAAATAAAAAAAATTTTGACAAACTCCAGGCAAAAAAAAAAAAATCACTCGTGCAGTGTCTCTGGGCCATGGATGCATGAGTGAACATTTGGTTTGTTTTAGTGAAGAGAAGAGTGGCGATATACTTGCCTGAAATTTGTTGTAGGAGAGACATGGAAATTGCCATCACTGACCTTTCTGAAAATGCTAATTGCCTCATTGTGCTGACGCCTTGACTTTTTTGAGTCGCTAATCCCGAGCAAGTAAAGTAAGGAATTCCTACTGTTGTGACATGCTTGTTCCAGCTCAGTGGCTGAGAAGTGAAAATCCAGGGAACTAGCATTTTCAGAAGTGTTGTTGGCAAAGGCAACCTACATACAGCTTAAAAGTGCACACTAATGCCAAGGCCAAACTAACCAACTTCTGAATTTTATCACTTCTAATTAACTCCTCTGCAATGTAGCGCTGCGGTAAAGAGGTACTATAGATACATTGTGTAGGGGCTACAAGAGACCCTTTGTTGGCCGTCCAGCCTAAGAGAAGGGCAATAGGGCACTTCAGATACAAATGCTCAGTTGTTTTGTGTCTGCTCAAGCCTTTGCCAAACATCAAAGCCCTACCTTAGCACGTAGGATTTGAACGCAGTTTAACCACTTCCAGTCCGGACACTTTTACCCCCTTCCTGACCAGGGCAATTTTCAGCTTTTAGCGCTATCACACTTTGAATGACAATTGCACGGTCATGCAACACTGTACCCAAATTAATTTTTTTACCATTTTTTTGAGACAGATAAAGCTTTATTTTTGGTGGTATTTATTCACCACTGGGATTTGTATTTTTTTTTGCTATGTAAATGAAATGTCCAAAAATTTTGAAATAAAGTGTTTTTTTTTTATAAAATTTTGCAAATAAATAATATTTCATCATAAATCTTAGCCAAAATTTATTCCGTTATCTTTTTTAGTAAAAAAAAAAAATCCAAATTAGTTTATAAGCAAAAATTATAATTTTTAAACATTTTTTTTTTACATTTTTATTTTATTTTTTTATATTTTTTTTTTTACATACTGTCACCCTAGCAGTACAGTGTCACCATGGGTACTTGTGGGGGGTGATGAAGATTTTTTTTTTTTTTTTACACTGATTGTTTGTTTTTACACCCATATAGGATGTAAAAGCAATCATTTCTCTTTCTCTCTGTGTGCATTCTTGCACTCATTGAGAAGTACTGAGTGAGCTGTGATTGGTCACAGCTTGTCACATGGTACAAGGCTTTTGTGAATAGCCTTGTACCATGTGACCTCTGTGATCATTCACAGATTTCACACGTAGTAAGCAATGATGTCAGAAGTGACCTCTTGCTTACTACTTTGCATGTGATCACTGATTGGCCAATCAGTGATCACATGATCGGGACCCTCGTATAGAGGTCCCGTCCGACGATCGGTGTTTCACTGTGTCCGGAGGACACAGCGGGCACCGGATCGCGGTGTGCTGCGCGCTCCCAGGGAGCGTGCACAAGCAGGGTGCAGGAAGACCGTTTATTAGACGGCCGCCCGACCTTGCAGTGCCACCGTCCGGCCGTTTATATACAACGGCCGGACGGGAGGTGGTTAATAATCCAGTGTTTAACCACTTGCCTGTTGGGCACTTGTACCCCCTTCCTGCCCAGGCCAGTTTTCATCTTTCAGTGCTGTTGCACTTTGACAATTGTGTAGTCATGCAACACTGTATCCATATTAAATTTTTATCATTTTTTGAGAGAGCTTTCTTTTGGTGGTATTCACCTCTGGGTTTTTTATTTTTTGCTAAACAAACCAAAAACAACTAAAACTTTTTTTTTTTCAAAATTTTCAGTTTTTGTTTTAGAAACAATTGAGTACTGTCCATGATACTTTTTTTATTTGCACTAACATACAATTTTGAGGACAAGCTTTTGGGGTATGTCCCCTTCTTCTTTGTTTTAAAATTTTTGTAAATAAGTGATTTTTCTCTTTCACTGATATGCACTAATGAGGCTGCAGTGATGGGCACTGATAGGTGGCACTGAGGAGGCACTGGTAGGTAGCACTGATGGGCATTGACAGGCATCACTGATGGGCACTGAAAGGCAGCACTCCTATATGGCACTGATAGTCAGCTAGACAGAATGAGCTGTCGCTTTCCTCAGAGCTAAAGGAAACTAAGGGGTGGGGTCACTGGGTAATGTCACTGAGCGACCCCCGCCTCTTTGTTTTCTTTTAGTCCTCAGAGAATGACAGCTCCTTCTCTGAGCTATCATAAAGAAGGAAAAAAAAAAGCCACCAATTGCATTTTAAAACAATTTTTTTTTTTTTTTTTAATTACCAACTTTTTTTCCCCTTCACTATAGCTCAGAGAAAGAGCTGTCATTCTCAGAGGACTAAAAGAAAAAAAAAGGGGTGGGGTCACTCGGTGACATTACCCAGTGACCCCGCCCCTTGGCTTCCTTTAGCTTTGGGGAAAGTGACAGCTCATTCTCTGAGCTATAGTGAAGAAAAAAAAAGCCGGTAATTACATTTAAAAACTGGCACTGATATAGTGACAACCAGTGAGGGAGCCTCTCTGTATACACTGCTCCTCTCCTGCCCCCTCCTTGCACACACTCCTCCAAAGAGGACCTGTCACTTATATGCTATCACATAGGGGACTATTGGTCCCCTATGTGATGGCAATAAAGTTTTATAAGTTAAATAAAAAATTTAAAATATACATTGAAGTAGGGAGGGGAAAAAATGGAGCCTCCGCACCCCCACATACGCAGACGGTTCGGTTTTGGCCACGTGCTTTCTGAATTTTCAGTATCAGCACCAGAATTTTCATTTCGGTACACCACTAATGCTTTATGTAACTTCATTGTTGGATTCTGCAAGTTTTTTAATATTGCTTGTGTTAGATTTACAGATTTCTG